CTCACGCTTGCTCTTTGATTGTTGTTCAGAAGGGCGCCGCAACCGTTTCCCCCCTCGGTGCGGGACGAGCTCCGGCACCTAAGCGGCAGTCATGATGGCCGAGTCATTGGATCGAAAAAATTGCACTGAAAAGGTCATTGCTCAGTCAAGCGAGCCCGCCAGACCGCAGGATGGCAAGGACGGCCAGTCTGTTGAGGCTGGCTCTGACTCTGGCTCTGTTTTGGCTTGGGTGCGGGTGGTTGAGCGCGGCGAGCTCTCGCCTCACGATGTAGCGCAGAGGCTGGATCAAGGTCAGGGTGATGACGTGCATCTCAAGCCCTACTTGGACAGCATTTTGGCCTTGCCTACCTTTCTCCTCGACCGCCTGCAGCTTCTTGCCCCACCACGATCATCCGCACCAAGCTCTCCTGTGCGAGCTGGGAGCCGAACTACAGCACGCACTGCGAGCCTCCCTCGACATGGGGTGGCCACGCAATGCAAGCCGCTTCAAACCAGCAATAGCGAAGCTGGCATTGCGCCCGACCCCATCTCTGGTCCACGGCGGCGTGTCCCCACAAAGCGCTTGGTCCCGCAGCCTTTAGTTGGTCCCGAACGCGATGTCACATCGACGCCTGTCACGAAAAAGGACGCACGAATAGCACCCATCCCCGCAGAGTCTGACTTTCCCTCATTGCAATCAACAACCTCTCAGCGCAGTGGGCGCCAAACTTCCTCTCGCTCCAAGCCCCACGCGTCTGGCAACTTGTCCGGCTCCGGAGCAACGGCCGATAGGCTTCCGGCGGCCCCACCGGCTGCCAGTCCCTGGTCTCGCACCAAGTCTGCAGGGACCACTTCACACACCTTTGACGTGGCTACGGCTAGGCCAGGTGCAACTCGTACCGTGTCTGTGAAAACCAGGTCGAGTATGTCAAATTCACGCCAGGGTTGTGACAGTGGTGGGACCACCGTAACTTCCCCTGCCCGAGTCACGAATGCAGACGCAGCCCGGTCATACTCTGGTGGTTCTCTTCCAGCCATGGCAGAGACCACTCAGGAGATTGGCCTTTCTGAGGCAGACTTTCGCTTAGCAGTCTTGCTTGGTGAGATTGGGGCTTTGGTACTGGCGAAGTATCGCCCACAGCTCCATCCTGGGATCGGCCGCGAAATGCAGGTGCTGAGCCAGGTCGCGCGGGCTTGTCTCGAGGCTCTACGCTTGGCTCCTGCCTTGGATGCTGCCGAGTCCAACTCAGCAATTGTCGCATCCGCAACCCAGTCTGGCATTACGCCCGATGAGGCTCAGCGCTGGGTGCCTGCATTTATGGTGACATGCACCGTGGCTCTCTTAGCGCGCTTTCCTCGATTGCTACATGCACTGGGCGTCGGGTTTTGGCCTGCGGTTGAGGCCCAACTGATTTGTTTCACTCCACGTCTGCAGCAGCGCCTGCGTGCTCTTTGGCCGATTGCCTCTGAAAGGTCGAGCAGTGACGAGGGCTTGGCTACGCAGCTGGTGCGTCATTTCGGCTCTTCCATGGCTGGCCTCGCTGAGCATTCTTCTTTGCCTCTCAACTCTTGCTCCTCGGTTTTTTCTTTTTCAAATCTCATTGTGGTGTTGAATTTCTGTTGTCTGCAGACGAGTGCCTTTACGACTGTGGATCCCCTGGCTCAGCTTTTATTGCACGAGTCTCAGCAGGAGGTGGATAAGTGGCTGCCCGTGCTACAGAGTTTGTACGAGGGCTACTGTCTGGCCACGGCAGACCAGCATCGTGGCCACCAATCTGACTTGCGCTCGTGGCGGCTACGCGCGGAGCAGGGCAAGGCTCAAGGCAAGCTCGATAGCTGGGCTCAAGAATGCTGGCAGCAACTGCGGGACTGCAAGCTTGCCTGGATGTCGGCCGTTGCACGAGGCTTGCTGCTAATGATGCAGGACTCTTCGCTGTTGCTGCCGACTGAGATGCGACACCGGGCCATAGAACGACAACGGATACGCTTTGAGTCGGCGCGCTTCCACATTGTCTTTTCCTTTGTGCCAGATTTGGTGGATGTGCTTGGGTCGCTGGAATTGCGCGACTTTCTCAGCCGGGAGCTTATGGTGGCGCTCGAAGAGGCAGCGCGACGCACGGCACGGGATCGTGATTTGGTGACCGGCTTTAATTTTCTTTTTTTTGGCGGCCGCGTGCTGGCGCAGCTCGTCTATCGCACTTTGGCACGTCCTCTGCACCCAACAGCCCAGGAGCGAGTCGGCATGGAATTGCGGGATCCGCTGTCTTTGTGTGTGCGCCTAGAGCGGGCGCATCAAGAGCGCTGCCTTGTTGCCTGTTTGTGTTGGACCGTGTCTTGCGTGCAGTACTTGGCTGGGCCGGGAACGGCTCTCTGGCATGGCTGCCCTGAAGTTTTGCAGGCCATAGGCTTGCTCGTGCGATTGGAGCGAGCTACCTCGCGCTTCGCTGAGCCCATGCCACACGGTTCGCTACCCATGTTGTTCGCCCACATGCTGCTTGGAGAAACCTTGAGCCACCCACGGCTGGAGCGATTGGTGACTCAAGCCCGCACAAGCGTGTGTGAGGCGCCCCCACTTTTGGTGCAGCTGGAACACTATCATTTTGTTGATGCGCGACTTCCCGGGCAGTGGCGCAGCGACGGTGAGCTGTCCGCAGCGCTGAGGTCCATTACGCAGCCCATCCAAGGTCCAAGCAACGAGAAGGTAATCAACCCAGAGCGTGTAACGGATCGAGACAAGGCGGCGGGCAGCAAACCCCCCTTGTTGCAGCGCAAGCTGGGTCAGGTGGTGACGGTGCCTTCCATAGAGGGGCAAATGACAACGCTCATCCAGACCATTACGTATGGAGTGGTGCAGAAGGTGCAGCTCTGGCTGCAGTCGTCATGTCCATCCATTCGTGAGGGACAGTAAGTACCCCATCGCACGCACGCAGGGGCTTGGTGAAGATGGTGTGTTCTGAATGCCTGCTCACTCTCCTTTCCCGCCTTTGCTGTGATACCTGAACGTGCCTAGATATCTTCTCTCTTCTCCCGAGGACGTGTGGGCAGAGAGCCGCGTGCAGCTCGAGGCCGAGCTGCAGCGGGGTTGTGAGGCTGTGCACCAACACCTGGCGCTATTACTGCAGCTGCGGGGCGGAGATATGGCCGAGGAGGCTGTGGCTACCATGGCATCCTTTTATGTGGAGAAACTGGGCAACGAAGTTCGGGCCCTGGCCAAAGACCATCTCGGCTCGATCTTGAAAGCCATGCCCATTCAACGAGTTGACGAAGAGGCGAACCCCGAGTAAAGAGCCAATTGTCAGATAAAATTGAAGTAGAGCGACTAATTTGCTCTGGATCACGTTTGTCATTCACTTACACGCAGTAGCGGTTCTGTGGGGCTTTCCGGACTTTTCATTTCTTCCCGACGACGACGACGTACGGCAGCGGCGAGCACCAGCGACAGGCAGGCGATACCGGCTCCTCTCCTTCCTTCTATTCCCCATTTTCGGTTTCCCTAGCACAATGGCGGGCTCTGACACTTCCGTGTTTCGGTCTTTGACCAACGAGATCAACGTTGCTGGTGTTCTGCGTTGGACTTGGCGCATGGTCGACCGTCAGCCCACTCTGGTCGCAGCCACGGCCATGGGTGCTTTTGGTGCGTGCGTTCTGTCGCAGCGACGGGCCAGGCGCGCCATCTTATGCTGGATGCGGCTGGCGTTTTTTTGCATTCTGCTTTTGGAGCAAAGAGCGCGTGGCCATTGGCTCTAGCGTCGTTGTGACCATATTGTAACGCCACTCGTGTTTTTTGACGCAGCTCATCTGATTTGATACCTGCTCGGTCTCTTTGCGCAGGTGTCCTGCTGGTGGCTGCAACTTCCTCCGAGAACGGCTTCACGCAAAAGGATGACCAAGGTCGCTACGGCTCTCTCATCCAGCGTCGTGTGCCCAGTACGTATTTCTGACTGTTCATCCGTCACATGTGTATGTGCATCCGGTGGTCTGTCTTTTGAATAATATTAATTCAAGGGATGGACAGGGATACTGGCCTTGATTTGACGTGCGTGCCGCGGGCCAGCTCACTTTGGCTATCGCATTTTGTGCTGACACCTGATGTAGCTCCCAAGGAGGCATAGAGATCACTGGCGCACCCGCTCTTGCTGTTACCCTGTGTCGAGACATTCCCATGTCAACTGTTCTGCTAGCCAGGCTTGTGCATGTCATGCTGTCCTAAAACCCGTTTCAACAATTTCTGGTTGGAGCATCGTAGCCTGCTTTTGCACCACGCCGTCAGAGAACGCTGCGCTCGTCTCTATTTCTCTTCTCTCTTGTTTTCTTGCTCAGATCAGCCTCTTCATTGTTTTTTTTTTTTCGTCATTACGGAGGGCCAGACATTCGCCGTCACGGCTTGCACTCTCCCCAGTAAATCAACGAGGGGCTTTGTGCACTACCCGATCGGAGGAGCACGAGTCCTGGTCGTGTGCTTTCCTCCGACCCCTCTCCTCTCCTCGCTTATCACTCTAGGCTCACGACAAGGGACCGTCTTCTTACTCTTGTCAGCTTGCCAATTGAACTTTATGCCTTGTACATCGGCACGTTTCTGATATCCCATCCACCTCCTTTCCCCTCCTCCTCCACTTCCCCTTCTCTTCTGCCTGTCTTGTCCTCTCTGTGTCCTGTCTCGTTTTTTTCTCACCCTCTTGAACGTTTTTTTTCTTTTCTTTCTGTTCTACACACACACAGACACACAGACACACAGACACACACACACACACAGACAGACACACAGACACAGACACACAGACACACAGACACACAGACACAGACACACAGACACAGACACAGACACACACAGACACAGACACACACAGACACACACAGACACAGACACACACACACACAGACACACACAGACACAGACACACACACACACACACACACATGAATGACTGCGGACAAAGTCGTTTTATGTCTCTCTGTCTCTCTCCCCTCTCTGTCTCTCTCTCTGTCTCTCTCTCTGTCTCTCTCTCTGTCTCTCTCTCTGTTTCTGTCTCTCTCTTTTCTTGGTGTCGTCGTGGCGCCATCAGTGTTCCAGAGGCTTTGGCAGCCAGGCGCGGGGCCAGCCGTGGGTTGCATTGGTAGTCTTTGCGCATCACGCTCATCGAAACACTTGTACTGCTTTTTGGAAGCGTCCAGTTGCTGTCGTTGTTACTCGTTTGGTTTTGGTTGACACGACGGCATAGCCCCGTTTCGCGCACAACCAGAGCACACGTCAAACCATTTGACCTCCATCCATTCTCGCAACAAGGGCGAGGTCTAGCTAGACCCAGGAGCAACGAACGCCAACGGCGTCATCCATCATGTCGAGCGTCAAGGTGCGTGCCCTGTCCGTTCTCATCCCACTCGTCTAGGCGCTCATGCAGCATCAAATGAAGTGTGTCGCCTTGCTCATGTTTTGAATCCACTGGCGCGCCGCACAGGTGGCCGTGCGTGTCCGGCCCTTTAACGACCGCGAGCGGAAGAAAAAGGCTGAATGTATTGTACAGATGAAAGGCAACACCACGCAGGTCTGCTACCACCAGCTGTCCTCGCGCGCGCCCGTGCGTGCTTGTTTGCTTGTTTGCTGTCACGTGCTCATACTTTTAACCAAACACAACTTGCGCTGTGGCTGCAGATCACCAACCCTGCGACTGGCAACGAGAGCACCTTTGCCTTTGATTGCTCCCAGTGGAGTCATGACCATGTGTGTGTGTGTGTGTGTGTGTGTGTGTGTGTGTGTGTGTGTGTGTGTGTGTGTGTGTGTGTGTGTGTGTGTGTGTGTGTGTGTGTGTGTGTGTGTGTGTGTGTGTGTGTGTGTGTGTGTGTGTGTGTGTGTGTGTGTGTGTGTGTGTGTGCTTCTCTCCCTTTACCTTCTTTGGCACCAAGTGCCTGCACCAGCTGCGCTCGCCCCGGGTCCCTCACACGCACTTACCCGTGCCTTGGGTTGATTCGTACAGCGCGATGGGGTCGAGTTTTGTGACCAAGAAAGGGTCTACCAGGACATTGGCGTGGAGACGGTTGAGCATGTTTTTCAAGGCTACAATTCGTCAGTCATCGCAGGCCTTGCACAGCTCGTCCACGCAGCCTCTCAGGCCTCACTGAAATCGGGCCTTGTCGTTTCAGATGCATTTTTGCTTATGGTCAGACGGGCGCGGGCAAATCATTTACAATGACCGGCGGTACATATTCCTGCTTTTGCATAGCCTGCATCGGCAACCTGTTTGATATCCATCGATGGCTCGTCGATCGCATTGATGTCTTTGGGTGCCGTTCTTGCGTCAAATCAGGTGATACAGCCGAGTCACAGGGTCTGATCCCGCGCCTGTGCCGCGCTTTGTTTGAGCGCATTGATAAGGAGAAAGGCTCTGATCATGTTTTTAACGTTGAAGTCTCGTACCTGGAGATCTACAACGAGAAGGTTGGCTCAGTGTCTTGCCGTCCATCTCCACATTGTTGCACACTCCCTCCGCTCATGATTGGGAGCTTCATCTTAGGTTCGGGACTTGCTCAACCCCTCCTCCGAACACACGCTGCGTGTTCGCGAGCACCCTGTCCTTGGACCCTACGTCGAAGACCTTTCCCGACTTGCGGTAAAGTCACAGTTTCCATGCATTGCTCGGCACCATCTTGCCCTCTGGCGATAGTTTTGTATCAATTGGTAAACAGGGGCTTGACAACGATGCTGCTTGTCCGCGTGAGTTTCCTCATGGAGCATGTGTTCTGCTTGGTGGAGCAGGTCGCCTCCTACGATGATATCCTGGCTCACATTGAGGCCGGTAACAAGGCCCGCCGTGTTGCTGCCACCAATATGAATGCCACCTCTTCTCGGTTTGTCGCTGCTGGATTTTTTTTTTTTTTTGGCCGACATGATCAGAAGGGTGGTTAAGGTCTGACTTGGCATGTAGTGCATGGGGCAAACCGGTACTGACGCCCTTTTTGTGAACCTTTGTCTTGCGTGCCCCGCCCCGCCCTTCGCCCCGCTTCGGTCACGAATCAGTTCCCATGCAATCTTCAGCATGCATTTCCATCAAACAGCTTCCGAGGGCGGGTCTACGGTCGGCGAAAAGGTCAGCCTTATTTTGGGTGCTTGGCGAGGGGTACCGCGATACTGGTTTGCTCGTACTTTTGCTCTACAGCTTACCTTCATGTTCACATTGACTCTGCCTTGCGGCTCGACTCTTGCAGCTCTCCAAGATCAATCTGGTCGATCTCGCTGGCAGCGAGCGGGCTTCTAGCACTGGCGCGACAGGGGATCGGCTCAAGGAGGGTGCCAACATTAACAAGTCCTTGACTGCCTTGGGCAAGGTAATTGCACACAGCTTTACAAATTTTCCGATAGGCCGCAATTTGCGTCCATGCATCTACCTGACTGATGTGCGTCAAATCTAGGTGATCAGTGCGCTGGCAGACGCCAGTACGAGCCAGGCCTCAGCAACCTCGAATTCTACCGCTTCAGGCTCCAGCGGCAAAAAGAAGAAAAAGAAAGGCAAAAAAGGCCACAAGAACACCGGCGGCCCCATTGTGCCTTATCGTGAATCGGCTTTAACCTGGTTGCTCAAAGAATCTTTGGGCGGGTATGTGTCGTGTCGCCCTTTGCTTTGTAGGAGCCACTCTTTTGCCTAGATGTGAAGGGCCTCAAAGGCCTGATTTATGCCCACGCTTACCCTTTGAAACCACATGTCATGTGCGCGTATGCTTGGATCTGGCTCTTTTTGTGTTGGACGACAGTAACTCAAAAACTACCATGGTAGCCGCCGTGAGCCCAGCCGACATCAACTATGATGAGACTTTGAGGTATGCCCTCCCTGGTTCCTCTCTTGGCCGGTGCGATTCAAAGCAGCAATCTGACGAGGGATCAAGAAATTTGAGGCTCATGCAACCAATGATCTACGTAGTACCCTTCGCTATGCCAATAGCGCCAAGCAGATTGTTTGTCGTGCCATTGTCAATGAAGACCCAACTGCCAAGATGATCCGCGAACTCAAGGAGGAGGTGCAGCGTCTCCAAAGCATGGTCAAGAATGGGTCAGTACCTGCACTGTATTCTCTTTCCAGCTCAATTGCTGGTGTCTGCGGACCTGTTCAGGTCTTGTGCTGCCAACCAACTCACAAATGAACCATGGGGCCCTTATTCATCACCACAGGGCACCGGGGTCACCCAAGCGTCCCTCTCCCAAGGCTGAGGCGCATGGGAGCGGCGAAGACAGCGACGAAGAGGAAGTGGATTCGGAAGATGCGGTTGAACAGCTTGCCGTGACCGAAAAGCTAATGAAGGAACTGACCACCCCATGGGCGGAGCGGCTGGAATACGCCGATCGTCTGCGCTCTGACCGCGATCAGGTATGGAAAGCCCAGCATAGGGACTTGGTCTTTTTATTTCTTTTTAATTTTTTTTTTTTTGACTTTTTCATTTTTTTTTCACATTCTTCTTCCTGTTTCTTCGCTGGCAATGCTCTGTTTTATCATTGCTTGCCTCACACCATGGGCAGATTCTCAAGGAAATGGGCGTCAAAGTGGACGAGGGTGGAACAGCGGTCGGGCTCAGCAGCCCCCAAAAGCAGCCCCATCTCATGAATCTTGGCGAAGCTTTGGATGAGGAGGAGTACCTGTTGTACTATCTGCAGACGGATCGTACCAGGTGGGTTCTGCAAACGGCTTCTTGGTGACGGCTGCAAGTGTGTGTATGAAGAAGCGTCACTTTGTTGCTGAAGTACCATATGAGCCAGGGTCATGCACTGACTTACCGCGTGTCTGATCCCTTGCCGCTGACATCACCTTGGTTGGTGGTAGAATTGGTGCGGCCGATGATAACGATGTCACCCTGATGGGCGATGACATGCAAGATCACCACTGCGAGATCTGGGCGCAGCACGACTGTTTCTTGTACGTGTAGGCAGGGGTACAAACGATTTGTTTTGCGGCGGACATTCATGACTGTTGCAGTGACGTTTTGCCTCATTCTGGGTTGTTCACTTTTGCTCTCCTGCTTCCATCCAGTCTGGTGCCTACAGCCCAAAACGTGGCTCTCAAGCTCAATAAGACGGTCTGCAGCACACCTGTGTTCTTGACCACGGGTGCATTGCTGCACATGGGGGCGGATCACATGTACCGTTTTGTGCATCCAGCGCAAGCCCGCCTCCTCCGGTGTGTCCACAGCATTTTTCCAGTCTTCAAGCGTTGACTTTTTTTTTCTTTCTTTTTCTGTTCGTGGGAGTGGGGCAAAGTTGTGCATATTCACGCCAGCACTACTCTTCACAGGGACGCGGGCATCAAAAGCAAGCGGCAGGCCGTGGACGCAGCCAAGCCTGAGGCAGATGATCTGCTGCGCCTGCATACCGATGAGAAGCGCCTGGTGACAGCTAACTGGGTCGAGAGCATTTTGGGCCGGGAGCTCGAAGGCGAGGATGAGGCACCAGGAATGGAGTTGGAGGCGCTTTACACGTTGGCACTGGAGGCTGCCGCAGCCAAAAAGACCGAAACCGAGGATGAGAGCGTGCCAGAGGCCAGCCCCCTTGAGGCTGATTTTGCGTTGGCACTAAATTGTTTGGCTTTGTTGCAGCGATTGGTCGTTGAGCACGAGGACCAGAGCGCAGGCACGTTGCGGCTGAAGCTTGCAGCACGGCCCACGCAGCGTCGCAAGCGTGTGCTGCCTTCCCCCAAAATGGCCAGCGCCAAAGCAAGCGCGGCTCAATCTGAGGATGCAGGCGAAGCCAGCCCATCACCCACACCCGCCCGGACATTGCCAACGCCCGCGGCCACATCAGTGATGACGGCTCCAAACTCAGACGCTCAAGGGAGCAGTGCCGTCGCTACTGCAGAGCACGCATCTGCTGCGAAGGGCGCCGTATCGGCGGGCTCTCCATCAGGCTCGGAGGTGTCCGCCGAACAAAATGTTACGAGCCTCTTTGATCGAATTTCAAATAAGGCTGTTTCAGCGCTCCCGCCTGCGTCTGCAGCCCAAGCTGATAGTGGCTCCGTGGCGCCCGACACTGAAGCCACTGAAGCTGAGGCGACCGTGAATCCCCTGGATCGTCTGACCACATCACAGGCCGATCGCTGGCTTCGTGCACAATCAGAAGCAGGCACAAGCTTTTGGACGCAGGGATTGTCCGGCTTTGCTGGGCTCTCCGATCAAGCCGGGAGCCTGCTGGACAAGTTTTTGGCGGAAAACAGCGCCACGGAGGCAGGCGACTCGGAAGATGCGCGGCGTCGTGCTGCTCTGGAACGCATGAGCGCTGTGGCTCGGGAGCGTGCCAACCAACAAGGCGACGAGGGCAACAAGGCCTCGGACTGTGCTGTTATCATGTGAGTCTGATTTCTTTTGTAGTGATGACCAGGTGATGTGCGTGATGTATTTGCGACTGCGAGCCGACCAAGCTTTCTCAAGTGCTGAGATGAGCTCGATCCGTTCAACCTGGCAAAGGTGAATGACTGTCCATGACATGGTCTTCCTGATTGATGACCGGGCGCTGGCCTCGCCACCCTCGAGTCACCGTTCAAATCCATCGAGAATGCTGCCTCACGTTCATAAATATCCATTCCTCTACAACCATCTATACCATCGAAAACACAACAGCCAAAAACCACCACACCTACAACAATAACCCCACCAACTCTAGCAACAAGTTTGCGTGTAGCTTTTACCGGATCTACAATAATTCAACAAATTTCTGCATTAACTTAGTTTTCTTTTTGGCCGGTTGCTAATCTGTTGCGAGAAAAAAAAAAATAAAATAAAATATGGCGTCGCCACGACGGAGCAAGGGTCAGGGGCGAAGCCGTAGCAATTCAGATGGCGCCGTCGTCCCTCCACTCAACCTACAGCCATCCATTGGTCGTTTGCTGGAGGAGGCCCGCAATCGTCTACAGGTGCGGTCACGGTCGGCGTTGCTCGCTCGACTGAGCGTGGTCGTGGTCAGCCCGCCCGCGTTGGCGTGCAACTCACAAAGCGTTTGTTGGTCCGATGCAGACGGACGGTGAGGATCCCAAAGTCCGCTCTTATGCTCATTCAGAGGTATGTCGCTTAGCCACACCGTTTCATCAGCTCCCGTTTCTGGCTTGGGCGCGTGCCATGGCTTTTGCCATGCATCCCTCGGTCGTGCCTGACGAGCAACGGTGGCCTGGGTGTAGAATAACTCTGGGGACGCCACGCCAGCCACCACACCAGTGTCGGCGGTTCCACAACATCACATGTTCAATGACACCTTCAACACACTCGAAGCCGTGGCCACCATGGCGGGCTCGGTGACCAGCCCACCCAGCGGCACGCCCAGCCCCGCACCTGGTGGCAGCCGACTCGAGCCACCGACCCCCGACGATCCACGTTCGCCCGTCAGTGGCAGTAATGATAACAAGGCCATGCGGCCTCGCTCGCAGAGTGACCCGGCCGAGCATGACAAGAAGCCTGTGCTGGTACGCTCGCTCCTCCGCTCTAAACTGCATGTCATGAAAGTTCTTGCTTTGTTCGCAGGGTGCTGGCTTTTAATGTGTGCTTGCACATTCTCATCGTCGATGGCATTTGCCTGTCCCCGACCTCGAATGCTTGCAGGACAATATTTGCTACGTCACTTCACTTGCAACTTGGGTTGATTCAGAGAAGGATGAGGCACCTGCAGCACAAGTGCCGGTTCGTGCAACACAGAGAGATATAGATGTAGAGAGGGGGAGAAGGAGAGGTTGCGGTTGTGGACAATCTTTGGCCGTTGCGAGCTTTACCCTGCCCCGACCCTTGCTCATTGATGCCATTTTGCTGTGTCATCTTTGTGCAGGCCACGCCACCTTCTGGTCAGAACTCAAAAGATGGCAACAAGCTTCTCTCCCGGCGCTATACCTCGAGCACGGATGAATTTCGCTCCCCGCGCCGCCTTCATGATGGTGAGTGTGCACGTCCGAAGACCGTTGGCTTTGAAGCTCTTAGGGAGGACAATCTCTCATCCACATTGTGTCGAGCTGTTGCAGAAAGCGATCTTGCTGATGAGCGCCCGCTGCATCACGTGACACTGATGGTCATCGCTATGGAGAAGAAGGTTATGGCCAAGCCAATGCAGGTGTGTTTGTATGCCGTCGCCGGGATTCTGTGTGTTTGAGTGCGTGTGCGTGTTTGAGTGTGCGTGTGTGTGTGCGCGTGTGTGCTTGCTTTTTCCGGCCACCGGCACACTTTGCCGTTGTTGCTTCTCCTCATCTACGTGGGATGGAGGCATTTAGCGTTGTAGTTGAATTTCGTTTTGCTTTTTGCTTTTTGCTTTTTTTCTTTTTTCGTTTCTTACCCCTGTGCTCACTGGGCTCTGGTCGTGTCGGCGGCGGTGAGTTTGGCAGAACATTTTGAAGAACATGGCCGTGTATGCCGAGTTTCAAATCCTCGTCTTGTCAGAGTCACTTCTGATGAATGCGCCCGTGGAGCATTGGCCACTCTGCGATTGCCTTATCGCTTTTTACTCCTCCGGGTTTGTTGTCGCTTCATCGCTGCACGGCCATGAATCCGGTTCATAGCATTGTCCCCAGCGCCTCATTCTGTTGTCTTTGTCCGCTTCGCTCGGTGGTCGATTTGTGTCAACGTGCTGCCATAGATATCCGCTGAGCAAGGTGCAAGACTACGTCAAATTGCGCTCACCCTTTCTCCTCAATGATCTGGCCACACAGCATCTCCTGCTAGACCGCCAGTCTGTCTACGAGTGAGTTTGTTTTTTCCCTGATGGCCCCACTACTACTCCTCCTGCCCATGTTTGATTGTCACCGCATCGGCCTCGGCTCTTCTAGGATTTTGGAGGAGAATGGAATTCCCTCGCCTCCACACATGGTGCTGCGACGCAGCGCTGGTGACGTGGTCGTCGAGCGGGAGGATGCCATTGAGATCAATGGCAAGGTCATGCCCAAGCCGTTTGTGATGAAGCCACTTGATGCCGAGAATCACAACGTACGCTCGAGCCATGCATTTTTGTCCGGGCCCCGGTACCCAAGACATGAAGTGCTTCAATTTTGTTTACTCCAACATGACCATTGTAATTGCTTATTTGACGTGCTTTGGCTCTTCAGATCTATGTCTACTTTTCACAGCATGATGGTGGCGGGGCGCAACACTTGTTTCGCAAGAAAAAAGATAAGGCCTCGGCCTTTTTGCCCGACTGTAACACGATTCCGGAAGAGGGGGATTTTATTTTTGAGCAATTTCTGCCCACGGGGGGCACCGATATCAAAGTAAGCGCTTGGACGGAGTTGCTGGGCGGCGCTTCAGAAATGCTCGTCATGCTGAGGTACTTGGGGTGTGACACACGCTCCGCTCACACTTCGACCCTAGGTTTACACTGTTGGCCCCAACTACGCGCACGCGGAGGGTCGTAAGGCCCCCGTCGTCGATGGCAAGGTTCTTCGGGATGCCAACGGCAAGGAAGTGCGTTGCCCGATCCTCCTGACGACTTTTGAAAAGGTACGGCCGCTTGGCCTGAAGCGTTAGTGTTGATTTAGATTGCAGGTCATCCGATGAAACTGGATTGGGTGTCTCAAGCATCTCTCGCGTCATGCGTTGTTTCTGTCAGGACATTGCGCGCCGCGTCACGCAGGCTTTCAAGCAAAATGTCTGCGGCTTTGATCTGCTGCGCACCTCCGACAACAAGTCCTTTGTGTGCGACGTCAATGGCTGGTCGTTTGTCAAGCGATCCCCGCACTACTATGTAGACTGCGCTCGCATTTTGCGTGAAATGATTCTGTCCGCAATCAGCCCTCTACTCCTCAACAAGAGCTACCCTGTGCCGTCGGTGGATTACACTTCGGATTCTACAGATTTGCTTGCTTTGCAATCTCCCCAACAACCGTTGCGCCGTGATGCACCCGAACTGCGGTGTGTCATCGCCGTCATCCGTCATAGCGATCGCACGCCCAAGGAGAAGCTCAAAATGAACGTGACACACGTGGAGCTGCTCGAGGTGTTCAAGCGCTGGTCCCCTGAAGGCATGTCCGCGACCAAGGAAGTCAAGCTGAAGTCGCGCAAGCATTTGCAGGACGTTCTTCGGCGCGTGCAGAACCTGCTGCGCTGGGACCAGCGCTTGTCGGACGAGGAGAAGAGCAACCTCAAACAAATCGAGCACGTGTTGACACGCTGGCCCATCAGCGGCATCAACCGCAAGGTTCAGTTCAAGCCCACGTCTTACGTTCACACACGCACTGGCAAACCCATCATTAACAAGGCCCAACTCATCGTCAAGTGGGGTGGCGAGGTCACACCCATGGGCTTGGATCAAGCGCAGAAAGCAGGAGTCCAGTTTCGTGAGACCATGTATCCATCCAGTGATCAGGACAATGGTCTGCTGCGCCTGCACAGCACCTACCGCCACGACCTCAAGTTGTACAGCTCTGATGAAGGTCGTGTGCAGATGACTGCCGCGGCCTTTGCCAAGGGCCTGTTGCAACTTGATGGAGAGATCACTCCCATCTTGGTGAGCCTGGTTCGCAAGGATAACGCCGTCAACGCGTTGCTGGACGATACCAAGCCCGCGCGCGCGCAGATGGATGAGGTTAAGAAAAAAGTTCACGGCACGCTGCTTGCCGATCAGTCGTGGCCCGAAGTGGCGGCCAAGATCGCACCGCTCAGTGCCATGAGCTACTCACAGCGCAAAGCCTTGCGCAAGCTCGACAACCCACACAAAGCCATGACACGACTCTACAACTTGGTGGTCGACTTTGTGACGAGTCTCGGGGACCGCATCGAGCAAGATCCAAATGTCCGCGCCTATCAGGGCGAGCCCTTGGTGCTGCTGCGTCGGCGATGGGAGAAACTGCGCGATGAATTTTTTGACACAGCCAAGCAAAAAGTGAGTTTATTTTGATGTTAGCTCTGCACGTAGAAACTTCAGAAGCTTGGGCCAACAAGCTCCCATGGTCTGCTACCTTGCAGCACGCCAGGCGTTTTTAGTTGACCCCCGTTTTGCAATGGTTGGCCTGGCGTTTTTGTAGTTTGTGGTCTCCAAGATTCCTGACATCCACGACTCGATCAAATACCACCTGCAACACAACGCGCACTTTGGCATTGACCAGAGTAGCGAAATTTTGACGCTGTCACAGGTTGGTTTGACGGGTTTAGGCATACTTCTTAAAGCGACTGCCTCCAACGTTGGAAGACTCCGGGCAGTCCAGTGATTGACGCGAGATTCTCATGCGACCTGTGGCTCTTGCCCCTGCCAGCATTTGGCCAATGTTGTTGTGCCACAAGAGTACGGCGTGACCAACGAGGAGAAGCTTGGCATTGGTTATGCCATTGGTGAAGATCTCATGCGCAAGGTGCGTGCTTGTTGTCAAATGACCCAATCTGCTGGACCTGTGGCACCTGTGCTGCCGTTGCGTTCGATTAAGTCATGCAATGGCTCCTTCCCGTGTAGATCGTGCACGATTTGCGAGTTTCGGCAGGCCAGGACGCCCAGCACGATGTCTTTCAGCATGAAGTCTCGCACCGCCTCAACTCTGGAGACAGCTTTATCAAAGTAAGTGTGACAAGCTCGTATTTGCGGGGGGAGGGGGGACAGAGAAGAGGGGCGTTGAGTCATAGGTGCGCCGTGCTGCCCCCTGCCTTTTTCGGCGCGACCTGATTGTATGCATGTCTGCGATGATGGTCCGCAGGTCCGCAGTCCCAATCGTCACGTGCGCACTCGGCTGTACTTCACGTCAGAGTCCCACATCCATGCCTTGGTAAACGTGTTGCGATGTGGCGACTACGGCCTCTTTAGTGCGGGGCCGACCCGCAAATACAGCTATTCCGACCTTGTTGAAGGTAATAAGACCTGTTTGATGCACATGGCTGAAAATTTGAATGAGAAAGTGGGGGGCACGAAAATAACAGTTGGGCGGCTTGAAATCATGTCGCCTTGCCTGGTCTGTTTGACTTCTTAGGTCAAAGCAAGGATGATCAAGCCGGTGCAACCGCCAATGGAGATGGTGATGCTGATCGTGATGAAGATTACCGCTCTCGCGCTGCCTCTGATCTGGCTTCGAGGTGAGCACGCTGTTGTTCAACTGCTTGCGATTGATTCCACGACCCTCATTCCGCACCGGTTTACTTCCGAATGTAGATGGCAGCCACGCCTGCAAGCCAACACGGATGTGCCGCTCGTCTCCTCTCCAGAGGCTTGGCTGAGTGCCAAGGTACCTGCAGCAAATCCATGTCTTGGGGGTGTCTTGCTTGATTCTGAATTTTCTCGTCGCCAACCCCCTCCTTTTTCTTCCCCCTCCACGTTCATCCTGCCACATCCATCCGACGCAGGCTTATATTTGCAAGCTTGAGGAGTTGGGCTACCTCACGCACATTGTGTGCCGGCTTTTTGAAAGACACGACATGGATGGCTCGGGTACGTGGGTTGTCGTTTGCAAGAGGCACCATGAGTGGCTTGCTCTTTCCTCTTTTTCTTGCTTTTATTTTGTCTGATCTGGGTGCATTGCAATGTTCCCCCCAGATCCCGCTCGTTTTTTTGTGGAATGGGCGCTGAGTCCAGGTTTGCGCAGCGTCGAAGATAGCGAGGCAAGTGCAGCCACCAATCATGATGTCGAATTGGCACCATTGCGAATTTTGCATACGGGCATGACGTTGGAGCAGGTGGAGCGCTTCTTCCAGAGTCTGCCATCTCGGGTGACGACGCCTACTGTGAGCGAATCAGCGTAATGTGTGATTTCCCTTCTTGTTACCTGTTTGGCTACCGCAAGAGTATTTCGCGCGCCTCTGTTTTCTGGTGTCTTGGTGCTTTCTTTTTTGTCATTGCGGTGTTATTGTGCCGGTATCCGCCACCACGAGTTGATGTTGATGCGATCGACCACCTTTAGTCTTCCGAAGCGATTTTGATTGAAGGTTGGTTGTCCTTATTGGCTCATGTGCCAAGAACGACACCAGTAAAATGACAGAACGACATCACATTGCGGCTTTGTATGCCATGTGGTTTCAAACGTGGTACGGAGCTTCTGTGAAGGTGGAGGGCGGCGGCCCCGTTGACGTGTATGTTCATATGTACCGAGCAGGCTCAGCCTGCATGGGGCATCAATTGGCATTTGAAAGGCCAAAGTCAATCAGTGCTTCTGCGGCGTGCTGAGAAGCTTGCCTTCCAGCCATGGGGCAAGGTGCTCATGCAAAAGGGGAAGATAGCGGCGATTCATATGAAAGCCATCACCAATGTCGTAGGTGTCACTGCGGGGCATTGTGGCACAGTTCAAACCATGCGTGAAGCCGTGCGGACACGTCAGGCAGGAACACAGGTTAATTTCGTGAGCAGGTCGCTGAACAAATGGTCAACGTACCATAGTGCATGTCCCGAGGAGTCTAACAAAGATGAGAAAAAGTCGAGAACAGCAATGCCGGGGATGGACTGCACACGTTGTGCCAGGCTATCATTCCATTGTTGGATGACATGATGCAAACGACGGCCGTCGGGGCTACTGTGGCTGGGGGGGATGGGGCGCACGGGGTGGAGCAGAATCTGGCGCCATCCATGCTGGCATTGAAGGTCTTGCAAGCCGGCAACAAAGCCTTGGAGGGTGGCGGCAATGGCCGATTCCAAGTCTGGATATTTTGGGGGCCGATGCGGACCGAAGTGCTTGGGCGAGGCCACGATGGTGCCATCTTCTCGAAGATCGATTTCACCGGCACTTACAATGACAATGCTGTCAGCAGGAATTGAGGCGGCAGCCGCCAGCAACGTCGCACGATGGATTGAGGGGCGGGGCAGGTTGGGCGTGAAGTGCCACGCCTTCACACCCATGGCCAGGCGCGGGTGCATGACCACATGACCAGGCGGACAAACAGGAACGCTCGTCCAGGCCATGGGCAAGATATGGGAGTCACCCAAGAGATAGAGGGCTTTGGTGGCCAACTCCGTTTTGGGCCAAGGTAAGAGGCGCGCGAGACACACGGCGTAGCGAACTTCGGCGCTGTATTGGCGGATGAGCTGCGCCCTGTGTTGATCAAGCAGATGGGCAATGGCGGGCGCCATGTGCTGGGCAGCAGCCGGGGCCGTCACGCTTTGCAGGACAAAGGCATGCAATAGCATGCCTTGGTGATATTTGTTGGGTTCGGCGGACGAGGCAGCGTCCATCACGGGCTGCCACCACTCTCGTACATGCAGAAGCTTCAATGTGGGTGAGCCCTCGGCGTCATTCCCGCGGGCATCACCGGGTGGCCACGATGATGGGAAAAGCCGCTCGGTGGCACCTCGCTGGATGGCCAAAGCTGTGCGATTCTGGCCCTGGTTGTGCAAGAGCCTTGACAAGTGATACAGCCAACCGCAGACCTCGAGCTGCGTCAGAACAAGGGAGCGTGGCTGAGTATCTGTAGGTCTGACCAAGATTGTCTGGAAAGCAGCCGCCCGCAATGCAGTGCAGATATGGACGATGCCAACACCGGCATCCCCTCCAGCTTCGGCTGCTACTTTGCCTAACAAAAAGTGGGATTTGGCAAGTCCCACAGGAGAAAGCGTGGCAGCTTCTTGAGCAGCGGCCTCCGCCAAGGCCCGTGTAAGGTCTGGCCGCCGGCGCTCCTCTCGCCAGGCTGCATACAGGAGGCGCTCCCAAGCGGGCGCCGAGGCATCACGCCGGCTCGGTATCGCCAGCCGCGCCGCTGCAATAACGCTGGCCAACTCATCATGCTCGACAGCAGCCTGAGCCATCACACTCGCGCCCACTCAAGATGGCAGTGAGCTGGCCTCGACCGGCGGATCAAATCAGGTACTTTTGGTGCTAAAAATGCGCGAAAGAGATTCACACGTGTGTGTGTGTGTGTGTGTGTGTGTGTGTGTGTGTGTGTGTGTGTGTGTGTGTGTGTGTGACGAACAAAACAAAAAAAAAAAGCAAACAAAAAAAAGCCACCTCTTAAAGTTGAGCGATTAACGTTAACGTTCTTGATCTGGCAAAAAGACCGGACCACAAGAAGGCGAAACGCAAAGAGAGAGGGTTGGTCAGATTTGTTAGATTCGATTTGCTCCACATGTCGGTGTCTCTTTGACCAGCAACGGTTTATTCATTTCTTTTCTCTTGAACGACAAGGTGTCAAAAGGCGATGGATGAGGCAGAGGGCCAGCCGCCGGCTCACATTCATCTCTTCTACACGTCCACGGCATCGTCAACCATGTCAATGTCCAAGTGGGTCATTGTCGAGGACTGCAGCTGCTCTGTCATGGCTACATCAATCACCGTCTCGATTTCAGTCTCTTGGTCAGAGGCCGCCTCCTGGAACAGCACCTCAGAGTCAGCCTCGGATGTGCGGCCCTCGTGGTGAGGACCATTGTGAGAAGTTGTTTGCTCTGGTCCCATGGTCGTGGCAGTCTCTTGAACACTGCTTTGATGTGGGCGTGCAGGCCGATGGTCGCTGGCTCTTGAACCGATGCTCGGTCCACCGAGATCCCCACCACCACTGCCAAAAGCGAACATGGCTGCAAAGCGCTGCTGAAGCCACCGCGCCGTCTGCACAAACCAAGCGACGGGGTCTGGTAGATCGGGCTTCTGCGTGTAGCTGGTCACGATTGGGCTGACAAAGATGGGGTAGCCCACGGGTTGATCATTTGATTGCGAGATCATATTGCGCAACACACAGATGCAGTTTTGAATCGAGCCGCGCTCGAGGGCAGGGTTGCGCAGGAAGAGCACCTCCTGCTGCTGTGCCGCCCAGAGGCCACGCACGCACTCGCGATTGACCTTGAACAGCTTGTAGCTCCGATAACGCCCCGTCAAAGACACAATGAAGAACTCGCGGTTGTAGGAGGAGTCGTCCAGGTTATAGCGCAGCGATAAGAGCGACGGAAAGTCAGACATGACTGAGTGGCGCCACGAGCGATCAGCTTCGTTGCAAATGACTGTTCGCATCATGCTCTTGCGATCATCGTAATCCTGGATTGACTCAAACAGCGTGGTCATGTCTTCATATTCAGCTGGGTCCAAAAAGTGGTCTTGGTGTAAACGCAGCGCCATCCGCGCACTGCGATACACAAGCCGTGGCACAGCCTCAGGCACAGCCAGCTCCAACCAACGGTCTTGAACACCCGACGGCTTTAAAAGTCCGGAAAACAGAGCGTGGTAGCCATGCAAAAAGGCATCCGACTGGGCGCGTAGTTGCTGCATCTTGCGCAGCATTGTCCGCCGAGCCAGGAGTGACAAAGCAAAACACAGGCGAACCGTATCGTGTTCAATGGTCAACGTGGCGGCCGACTCCGCCGAATCTAATACGCTCACATCATCAGCCGCGTCCGTGCGCGCCTGCTCTAGGCAATGCTTCAGCCAATCACCGTAGTGTTCGTAGAAACGCTGCAGACTCATACCACGCTTGCGTGCGTCATAGTCTTCGTGATACTGTATCACGAACAGCGGGTCCCAGTTGACGAAATCTGGGTGATACTCTTTGAGGACCGCCTGCACCTCAGGTGAGGCCAAGAGGCGACAGGTCAGTTCGGCATCTGTGGCCATGTAGTACACGATTGCGCGCGACAGCATGTCAAAGAGTACGCGGCAGAGCTCGTAGGACCCAAACATGCTGCTTGCTGGATTCAAACTGATTGAATAGCCCTTGAGTACGTACATGGGGGAGACGGCCTCCCAAGCGTAGGTTTGTTGGCGCAAGATGGCACGGCACGAGAGCCACGGCAACCGCGTGCACGGGCGGCAGCGCTGGCACAGGTCACGGTCGTCATTGGGATCACGGTCCAGCGCCTCGAGCTCACGCGACTGGCAGTAGGTGCCAGCAAATTCGAGGCCGCGAATTTGAAACGCCACAAATCCATCACCTCGCTCGATGATATGCACAAAGATGGTCATGCGATTATCTAGGTCACACATGAGAAAAACGTCGCCGGCCGACACGACACCCCAACGACCCTCTTGGATGTCACGTGCAAGCTGCAATCGAAGCTTGAGCAGTACGTGTTGGTAAAAAATGCCGTTGAGCTCGTTGGCAGGCACGTCCAACATTCGGCCGCGAGAATCATAGCGCAGGGTGGCTTGCTCCAGTGCAGATGTTCGGTAATCTTTTTCCCAAAAGCGGATTGGGCGAAAGTAGGACACCAGGAAGATGGCCGACCCCATCACAGGGTAAAGTGGCGCCGACACGAGTGCCGCAATGCCCGACTGCACCACCATGACAATGAGATGAGGGAGGGCAAGAGGCCAGGTAAAGGCATGCAAGCCTGATCCCAGGACATCGTGCATGTGGTACACTCCATTGTAGGTCAGAAGGAATCGCAACTTCAAGAGCCACTCGTAGCCCTTGGCAAGCAGAAAATGCACGACAAAGAGATCCACAACAGGCGTCTCCGATAGTGATACGTCATACGCACTCGCCAGCTCAACTGCAGCCATGGCAACATATACCAGGGACAGGTCGCCGCTGCGCAGACGCAGAGCCTTGTGCCCGCCCAGGGCCAGCAAAAGGCTGCCCACGGGGGTACCCCATCGATCAACAAGAACTTCAGCTGAGTCGTTGATAAAGGCCAAGATGGCCAGCGGCAGCAGCACGTGCAGCAAGCTGCGGTTTAGCCAAAACTCAAGCTGCTCAACCCAGGACGCGACAGGGCGCTTGGGATTGAGAATTGTGCCAGCCTCACGGTTGGTCAGGAGCGGCTGTTTTCGGAATCCAAACGGAAAAGCGGCTCGGAGCTGATGCAGCACGTAGTAAAGAAGGAAACTCACACCACAGCAAACGGCAGTGGCCGAATGGCGCAGGTGGGGTTGTGCTGCCGCAAACAAGCCCGTAAGCACAATGAGCAGCCAAATGAGCAGCTGCGCTGTGGCGCACAAAGCGTCCCACGCGGCGCGGCGCTGAAAAAGTCGCCTCTGCGAGTTCTCGAAGGTGCTCATAAAGCTCGGCGTGTTGCTTTCTGCTACGCCCGGAGCACGGTCTGCATCCGGCTCGACATGAGGATCGACGCTGCGGGGCACATCGAAAGGGGCACCCTCGCTGGTGCTATCAAGAGCGGTGGTGTTGGTCGTTGTCGTGGCCGCTAGCAGGGTAGACCCAGGCTCAATGGTTTCAGACATTGTGCTGTTGGCATTGCTTGGTGAGCGAGTCTTGCCTCGAGAAGCAGCACGCTCAAAGAAAAGCAGAAGGCCGTCAGACTGTAACCGACCGAGCCAAAAGGAAGTACCAACGGCAACACCACACGCCAAAGCAAAGACAGCTTGCCGAGTCATGGTGCTGTCGGCATCAGCCATCACTGCCGCACCATAAAATGATGCCCACGAAACACCCACGGCCACAGAAGAGAGAAGCACGCGAGACGCGGCCGCGGCTAGGTTAATGGTGCCCGTTCCGCCAAAAACATGGAGCTCGAGCTGCTCACATAGGTGGTGCAGCGCCGTGCTCCAGATGGGGAGAACGCCAAAGAGAAACATGGCAGGGCTGGCGAGAATGCACACAAGCACAAAGTCGCGCACTAGTCCAATCAGTTGAGGATCATGCACTGCGATACCATAAAAGTCACGGTCACTGAGCTGCCCGCCAGCATGTGCGTCCAAGATCAGGGCCGTTGAACTCAAGGCAATAAAGTAGAGAGGCCGGGAAAAGGCTGTTGATCGTTGCCCCACGGATGATGCGCTGGCATCGGGTTGCACGCTACGCAGTAAAGAGTACATGGCCGATGCTGCGACGCCAAAGAGAACCGTGCGGCCAAGGTCGTGATATAAGCGACCTAGCTCCAAGGACAGGTAGACGACAGCAAGCACCAGCATGGGAATGATCACGATCATCCGACGCGATGTATACTTGTCAATGACCTGCTCAAGTGTCGCACGGCTCAAGCTAGCCGGCCCAATGGGCCTTCCAAACAGTCTAGGATGGTTTGTTGCTTTCGGTTGTGCAGGTGCTTCCACGCTTGGTGAGGCTTCGGGCGCGGTAGCTTCCACGGCTTGAGCACTCGGTGGCAGTGTGGCAGCCAACTCTGGAGCGTCCTCTTCCGTTGGCACGGGTGTAATATCCTCAGCTGCCTCGCGGGCTGCGTCTAGTGCTTGAACAGGCATACGACTTGCAGAGTCAGCCTCCCAGGTCGTCAGATCGCCATCTAGAGACTCGGTGGCATCTGGAAGTCCGGGTTCCTGAGTTTGGGGCGAGGAAGTCGCCATCCAATCATTGTGCCGGCGTTCGACCCGGTTCAACGAGGCTGCCAACGACTCTGGGCGACGGCGGCGAACGTGTCGTCGTCGACGGCGACTGATAGTCAGCTCAGGTGTGTCCCCGTGAAAAGGTAGAACAACCTCCCGATTATCTACCGAGTTGCCATCACCGGCCATCGCGGTGGTGGATGTGGCGTCAGCTTCGGGCTCAATGTCTTGCGTTGAGGCACCACGTTGTGAAGCAGCGGCCGAATCCGCGTCATTTTGAAGGGTAGATCCCGAGGATATGTCCCCATCAAATGCCGTCGTGCCTGCAACAGTGTTCGAGCTGCAAAGGTGCGATGCACATTACAATAAGGAAGCATGGCCAGGGCACGATGGCATGGGCTGTCTGAACTGCACCAGGAAGTGCCACAAGCAATACCCGGCATATCCATCGCCATAATGGTTCCCTACGTACCCAGCACGGGCCGACGAAGTGCCGGCAGCGAGCATCTCCGATGGCTCGTGGGCGACAAAAGAATCATCGACAGGGGTTGCCTCACCCAGCCTGTGAGGTCACACACCGTGTCGCCATCAAGACGACGACAACGGCCGGGTTAGGAACAAGCTAACAAACAACAAGCAAACATGCAATAATGATGATAAAGCAAACGTGAGGTGCGCCAGAGGAGCTTACTCTTGTGAGGAAGGTGCGGGAAACAGCTCGTGGAAATGGGCTTCAGACGTGCCGTGCTCAAGCAGACACGCTTTGCAGAGATCAAAGTCACACCCATTGCAACGATAACGTTCTTCTCCTTCCAGCTCACGCGAGCGCCGTCGACAGCCGTTGCAGATCCATCTTTGGAGCCGCAAGAAAATGCCACATCGGGATCGCGCCGAGGACCACGACAGGTTAGCATGCTCGCCGATGGTCAACAAGACAAGAATGCCATGTGGTTTGATGCAGAAAGTAGCATGTACCTGGAGTTGATGCTGCTGGCATCTACAAGAGGGTGCTCGTGCAGACTGACGAAGAAGCGTGGCTGCGGTTCGCGACGTAAGGAGCGCCGTCTGTCAAGAAAACGCACGCTCATGAGATCAGGAGCGCAGAGCATCTCAAAGCAAAAGAGCCGCGGAGGACGAGTTGGCATTGAAGTGTTGGGAAGTCGGGACAATACACGCTCAGTTCCCATGGCCCAGAAACCAGAGCAAAGCAAAGCAGCACACGGCAATGACGCGATAAAGGCAGAAGCTCATGAAAAGGTGCACACACACACACACACACACACACACACACACACACACACACACACACACACACACACGCAAACATATGGGTTCAACCGTACATGGCTAATGTGACTCGCTCCACACTGCCGCTCAGCGACCCAGCAAGGTCGACGAGAGATTCCGCTCGGCTACGTGTTCCCCGCACGCTCCGCACTGAGCCACGCCGTGTGGTTGAACGGCGACGACGAACCGTGGCCACATCTGCTGAAGCGCTGCGTGCGTGCGGATCCTCAACTCGGCGGGCCCGTGGCACATCACTAGCGGTCCATACCTGTGACCCAGCGCTTTCAGCAGCAGCAGCAGTTAACGCTGTCGACAAAGCCATCGGGGAAGGAGCCGTGTGCACTGCAGTCGCATTGTCTTCCAAATCAGAGGGCTCCGGTGACATGTTCACAGGTGTGTAGACGCCGTCCATGATAACAGGCGGTGCGACGGCAAAGTTGAGCTCACGACGCAAGCGTGAAGGCTCGCGAAAGGAGCGGCTTAGTCGTGGTTCTTCAGTCTGGCGACGCGATAAGACGGGTTGGCGTGCAGATCGGGTACGCCGCACACTTGGACTCGTGCTACCCGCTTCGCTGGCACCCGCCTTGGCTGGGCCCGTGATGGGGGGCACTGGAGCAGAACTTGGATCGGAAAGAGGGACATCTGTAAGAGTTGAGGCCGCAACCGACGGCTCGGCCGACGCAGTTTCGCCCTCAAGGGCAGCAATAGTGCGCTCCAACTCATCATGATAGTCGGCATCCAAAAAAGGAGCGCCGCCTGGTGCGTGTGATCGCGCTGGCGCGCCTGGATGAGGCCCAGGGCCATGCAATAGTTCGTTGCTGCTCCAAGATGTAGAGCTCCCATCACTGTCATCGTCATCGTTGCTGGACAGATCAAAATCCGAGTCCTCATCTGCAGCCCTTGACGCGATGGTTGTTGGTGCTGGAATGTCCGCAACGTCCTCTCGGGAGCCGTAAATGTCCTCGGCAGTTGAAGGGTTTACAAACATGGCTGCACGCTCAGTTGCTGGGCCATCCTCGCCATCCTCGCCATTAGCTTCGTTCTCGTCATCGCCAGCATCGCGGCGTGTACGTTGCCAACCTGCCAGGTGTGGTCGAGGCGGTCGGCGTGGAGGAACGGCACGATTTTCGGCTTCGACAAGCGTCTGCAGGTTGCGAATGACCTCAATGCATGCTCCAACGTTGAAACGTGTTCCGTGAGTGATTTGCGATTGGATCTGCAGGGTAACAGGTAAGCGAGTCGAGTGAGGCCGGCAACTGGTGCCAAGAAAAGGTCAAAGCGCGGAACAGAAGCCGTTTCGGAGAAGAATACAAACAAACAATGTCATGACCCAATGTCCAGTGCATCAAGCTGCTTACCCTTTCGACGGTCTCTGTTACATTGAGGTACAGTTGGCGCGGATCAACCAACTCGTTGCGGCGCAACCTGCCGAATTTGAAGTTCAGACATGAACACGCAATCGGTTTTTCGTGAGCACAATGGGCAGGTGACAAACTCGAAAGGAGCAGGAAACGAAACAAAGCAAAACATTCCTGACCCCGCCCCCCTTATCGCACACGCGCACTTTTCCCTAGCTAGCCGCTTTCATGCCATGGGACTGCACACTCGAGGCGCGTACAAGGTCAAAGCTCGGCTCAAAAGATCATCCAGTGCTTCAAAGTCCATGGCCATGGCTTCAAAAGCCGGATCCTCAGCTGCAAATCAGATATCGATTCGTCAATGCAACTGGGGGTATGTGACAAAGAACGAATGCAAGCGTGCAGAGGCGTTGCTGGGGGTGTGCACGGACCCTGGAGCAGGCGGAAGGTGCTGGCATTTTGCCGATATATGGTCCGAGCTCGCTCGCAAGCCGCAATGAGATGGTTGATGCAGGCACCACGGTAGAACTGCCATTGACATGTTAGCATGAGCACTGTAGGCACGAGTGCACCGTTCGATTGGATGGCACGGGGGACGTACAATTGCAGCATCGTGCGCTGGCATGTCTGCCGCCACGTTCAAGGTGGCAAGATCCATGGATCCTAGACACCAAGAAGAGACCACGGTCAGCACGGAGGATGTGGCAAACCTTGTCGAGCCACCATGTGGTGCAGGGTTTGCCCGCCTACTTACGGCCCATGTAGTCTTGAAATCGACGTGCAAGCTCGGCATTGGAGCTCGCATTCTGCAGAAACTGCCCAATCCGGCCTGGAACCATATATTGATGTCGAAGGCTGGGGCGTGCTGGAAGAGGTGGGGGCGCGTCATCCTGGCTTTGTGGGTCTATTGCCGCCGGCTCAGGCGGCGACGGCCGCGGCATCGTCTCAGGACGCCCGAGATTATCCAGCTAACATTCAAATGCTCATGAGTTCTTGGGCAAAGCCTTTTTCTTATCCCCATGAGCAAGTGACAAGGGCGCAGGTCGGTCAAGCCAATGAAAGTACGAAACAGTACCAAAGGATCAGTGTTGAGAAGCGGTCTGAGCGTTATGCTCTCATTGCGCAAGGCCGTGGCCAACACATGCCTGAGCCTAACGGTGAGGTACAAACATGCGTAGTGATGAGGTGACGGCAGCTACAGTGGTGCCACGGATCTAGCAGGGCTGAGCTTCAAGACTTGCGTGCGACAGTCGACGCCGCCGACATGATATTGCTGAAACCTCAAGTGTACAATGACGTGGGTACAGCGATCATTCTCCAGTCTACGTCAAGTTAGGTGGGTCAGGCAAGGGGTATCAATGCCAGCATGTATGTTGCTGGGCTTGCACTAAAGGCGGTGTGCCGAGCTCGGCCAAAGTCAAATCAACGGGTGACGAGATTGGTTGCCAAGCGCCAAAAATCGCCATACTTGATGGAGAGGACGTCGTCGGGATGAACTTCACTGGAACGAAATGCAAACCAGCCTGGTCCAGGTTTGGCGCGCAAAAGACGCTCCATGTGGCGTCGGCCCATCGCACCGAGCTTCCAGCTGCCAAAAAGATGTTTGGCACGATTGAAATGAGCAAGAGACGTGACAGAGAAGCGTTGCATTGCCTCGGCGAACGAACGTGCGATGGGGCTTGTCTTGGACAACAAAGAGTGCGCGACAGCTTTGAGTACGTACAGCTCTTCATCGCGGCCTGGAATCGTGGTTTTTAGGAACAGGCCATTGGTCATGTTGTTGAGCCGGACAGTCAGCGTTTGATCTTCCTTGTCGAAAACGGGATCCAACTCCAGGTGTGGAATTAAATCCAAAGCTGGGGCCAAGGTGATGGGGAGGGATTGTGCGGAACTGCTCAGAGGGGAAGCCTCTTGCTCATGGTCAGCCTCATCTAGAATCTACAAGGGGCATCAACGGGAGGGGGGGGGGGGGGGGGGAA